GCTCAATATTATTTTGTCATTTTCGCCATGATCACCAGGTGAATTTGCCTAAAAATGCCAAGACAAATCAGTAGCCAAGTGACTCCTGCAGGTACTGTGAGCTGCACAGTGTGATCCCTACACCCTTGTGGTTCTTAGTGCTGGATCAGAGTGTTAGGGTGTTACTTTAGGAGTTCAGTGTGTAAAGAAAGAAGAAGCATTCCTGATGGTTTTTACCCCAACATGTATAGAGACGAGTTGGATTACAAGGATGACAAAAGATTACAATGGTTCAGGAATTTTCAGATGGATACAAGGGAAGTTAAACATTTATATCTTAACTTCTTTTCTAATCTGACATGGTTTTATAGATAAATATTGCTTGATTTTTGGTTAAACGTTAAACAGATAAAGTGAGCTGCAGGGCATAAGGGTGGAATCAGAGGATTCTTTATTTTGCAGTCATTCATTCTCAAATATCTAAATTCTTCCCCTCTGTTTATCTTAAAGGCTGGCTACCCCCATCTGCATGCCTATCCCTAGAAAGGACAGCAGTTTGTGTCTGCAGCTTGCAGTGATGCTGTTTTCTACCTAGCCAAGGAGATGACAATAAAAGGAGACAGCTGCTTGCAACACAGGGTGTTTAAAGCTAAACGCAATACCTTCGTGTCGCATGCGATCTCTCGCAGGCCGGAAAAAAAGCAGCACAGACCTGTTTAGAGCTTCACTGAGACAACAATGCAGTTTTCCCCACTCCCTTTCAAACCAGTAGGTCAGTTCATTTAAACCTCTTGTATTTTTTTAAACTGATGTTACCCATCTGAGTAAGTGGGGAAAATATATTAAAAGTGACTGTGAGCAGATGCTGAGTAGTTTCTGGTGAAAAAGATCTCCCTCTGAAGAGTTACTATGTGTGTGCATAACATTAAGAGGTTGAAAGCTTTGTCGCCATGCCATTTATAGCCCAGTGTTATGATTTTTCAAAGCCCAAACACAAATCATCAACACATTATTAGGATGGCAACAGTGTATTAATTACTGATTAACCTAAACTAGGAAGGGATGAATTAATTTTAACAACAGGTTTGGAGCAATAAAATATTTGACACAGATGACAAAAGCACTGTATTCTAGAAATTCCCTTGAAGGACTAGTGGTAGATCTGAAAATCAGGTGTTATTTAGGTATAATTCCATATATGCATAATCCATGATATTTACCACAAAATGGTCCTTTAACACTACAACCTCCCACTTGTGCTTCCACTAGGACCAGAGATTCTAGCGCAAATCAGACTGCCAGACTCTGTAAACAATGCCCTTGGGCACAGCCTAAGAAAGATAACTGTTCTTAGTTTGTAAACTTCTTGTGCTGGAGACACATGCCTCCTCCATAGCATTGCTATCTGAGAATTATATAGTACAGACAGAAACTGTCTTCTTTACAACAAAGCTATTCCTTCTTAATAGCTGCTACAAGACAAATGCACTAAATACCATTATATGTGCAGGATGGTTATGAAAGAAGCTAGTCATTGTCGGACAGATAAGATATATCTCTACCAGTTGCTAAAGCAGGATGCTCAGGGTCATCTTGTTTTCCTTAGCATTCTTAAGCACTTACTGCAAAGCTTGTATCTGCAACTTTTAAAATCCTGGGAGCAGATTTATATTTGAAAACTGAGGAGTCCAGTTAAACAAAACATAAATCTGGCTTTTGCACTGCTACAGCCACTGCAGAATCATGGAACCACCTCCCATGCCCCTCAAGCCTCAAAACCAAATGTTCCTGTGCAGTCTTTTATGGCATCAGAGCTGGACAAAGTCTTTACTAAGTCAGCCCCAAAGAAACAGAAAGGGTTATTCATAGATTTTTAAGTCTAGAAGAGACCATTAGATCACCTACTCTGACCTCCTATATAATACAGACCACAGAATTTCCTCCAGTTACTCCTGCATTGATCCCCATAACTTTCATTTGACTAAAGCATATCTTCCAGGAGGCATCCAGTCTGAATCTGAAGTCTTCAAGAAGATAAAGAATCTACCACTTCCCTCCATAGTTTCTTCTAATGGTTAATCACCCTTACTGTTAAAAATGTGTGCCTTATTTCTGATTTGAATTTATCTGGCTTTAACGGACAGCTTCTTATCAGCTGGTTATGATTTAATTACTGGTGAATAGAAGATGACTGAGCTATGAAAACAGAATGGATATTTTCAATATCCTTTTAGAAAAAACAATTGTTGATTAAGTGACACAGAAACTGGATGATACAGGGGATTCATAATGAAATTCTGAGGCTTTTTGTTTCAGGGTCACTAGATAAAATCTGGCCCCACTCTGTAGGAACTAAAAGTTGTTAAAAATTAATGGGGTTAGTGGAGTATTTGAAATGAGTTAGAGATCTCAGACTGGATTCCCCACTCTGCGAAGGCCACTTTGCATTGTGTAAGGAGATAACTGGCAATCTCAGCCAGTGGAAAGCTGCAGAAAGTGATTCCACCGCCTGCACCAATTGCAATCTTCCTTCCCCAGTGGATAAAGGGTTGCATTAGAGGCGGGAGCGCTGAGCTGTATCCTCCACTGGGTACAAGATCAGCACAGCACCTGTGTAGCTCAGACTGCAATGGGATGGGCAGCCCTGACTCCAAGAACTGCAACTGGCTCCCTACAATGCCCCCAAATCCTTCACTCCCTCCATATGCAGCTTCTCCTACCACTTCCTAATTACACTGCGAAAGCACCATCACCACTGAAGCTGTTTGGCCCCTGAACAGTGAAATTACAGAGGCAGAGATCCCAATGGGCAGAGTCTCTTTTTCTCATCCCCAGAAATGGAACAGGGTCCAGGTACATTGGTGGGATGGGGGGTGCTGATAATACCGGCACCCTCTGTCAGTCCCTTGTGGCCAAGTGGATGCAGTGTCGCCAACTCTCCTGATTTCTCCATGTGTCCAGCTAGAGCTGGAGTCGTCTCGCCAGGATGCCAGCAGCTCCAGCACTCTTGTGAATTTCAACCCTGCCTAGGGGGAGGAACCCACTCTGATTGGCTGCCTTCACCACTTGCCTGGGGATGAGCAACCAATGAGGACTACTGTTGGAGGTATGCAGAGTTCTCCTCTCCTACCGCTCAAGAACTGAATGGAGTTCTGGGATAGAAGAAGGGAGACACCAGTCTCACAGGAGGGGAAGGGGAAGCAGAAAGAGATGAGCAGCTCAGGGAAGCCCTGCTCCATCCTCCCTCCCTGTGAACAGTGGGTCAGTCAGCTCTGTTCCTCCCTCCCCACAACACCCAGCTTGGGAAGGGGGAAAAGGTGGTGCAGCACCCCCATCACACCCCAGGGGGGTGGTGAAGACCCTCACAAGCTTCAGGAGAAGAACTGGTGTGGGAACTGGGCAAATGTGGGGCCAGGTGGGAGGGTGGACAGGCAGATGTAGGGGGTGAAAGCCCCTGCAGCAGAGGCTAAAATCACCTTAACCAGACACCCTGTGAAACCAGAAGTCCTCAATCAGACAGCAGTGCAACCACCAAAAAAATAAAAAAGCAAATACTGTATTGCCTCAGGGCTTCAGCCACGGGGGGGTTCGTGCTGCAGCCAGAGGGTGGGAGGGGTCCAGGGGTCCTGGCAGAAGGACAGCTCAGGTCTTCTGACTCTCAGGAGTACCAGGGCTCAGGGGTTTAGACTGGGGGGCAGCACTGGGGCTCAGAGCTTCAGCCCTGTGGCTCTGTTCCCGGCTTCAGCCCGATGGGGGGTGCCGGGGCTTGGGGCTTTAGCTACAAGGGGAGCACTGGTTTCAGCCACAGCGCTCTCTCCGTAACTGAAGCCCCAAGCCCCGCACCCAGTTGAAACCAGGAGAGGAGCCACAGGGCTGAAGCCCCAATCCCTGGTGCCCCACATGGGGCAGAAGCTGGGAGTGGAGCCGCAGGGCTGAAGCCCCAGCGCTCTCCCGCAGGTTTAAAGTGCCAAGCCCCAGTTCTCCCTGGCAGCCCCTAGGATCAGTAGCCCGCCTCCCCCAGAGTCCCGCAGCCCCAACTTCTCCGTGGCTGAAGTCTGTAACGTCTTATTCAGAGTTCCAGACCATTTCAGAGTTACAGACAATAGAACAATACACCCATAATAGGAGTATTGTAATATTTGGTGCCCTGTTCAATGTTGCAAACTTTCATTATCTAAATAAAGTGCCCATCCAGGGCTCTAGATGACTATAACAGCATCATTAAAATACAGCATAAAACTCAGCAGCTTTCCCAAAAAGGGAACAACCAATCAGCAAACATCCCCTCAACATGCACTCCAGCACGAGCCCTTATCACAACTCCCCCTCTCCAAAAGCTTGGGCAAGAAGATGGGCCATCTGTGTGTCCGGAAAGTCAGCAAAACTGAACTTTTACAGATTAACAGTGGGGAAATTAATCCAAGGTTGAGCACCCCACATTGACAGCTCTCTCTCTGATATGGAGGGAAGTTCCAGTTGAAACACCTCTGTGGGCTATAGCTATAGAAATATGGCACAGTGAGATAGGCAGGTCTCAAGCAATTTTAGAGTTTCATTGGCCAAATCCTACACCTACAGGTTAAATACCCACAAAACTTACTCTCTGGCTGGGATTTTCAAATTCAATGTGATTTAGGCACCTAACTCCCTTAGACTCCTTTGCAACTCCCAGTTTTTATTATTTTAATCCAGACAAATGCGCTGGTAACGTTGCTGTGAATTTTGTCAAACCTTCTCCTTCCAGAGACCTTTCTGAATTTTTTTTTTAAAACTACAGAAAAAAAAAACCACACATACATTTTGTAGCATTCTGCCTACAACCAAACTGTCTAACCAGCTACCAGATGAGGAGATATTTGGTCTACAACTTGATTGACCCTATGCTTCGTAATTTTTCATGGTGTGACATCTTCTATCGCCTAAGTGGGCAAGCAAGCACTGGCATGTCAATATCCAAGAGATTTTAAGTTATTTTTGACAGGCACGTGGATTCTTATACATAATTTTCAATATTGTCTTACCTAAGACGGTCATGACTGTCTTCATAAGCTTCATTGGTGTCCTCCTACGGCTGATGGATCCACTAGTGTGTGGAGATAAGACATTAGTTTTCCTCTGGACGTACATGTAGATTCTTAGGTAAACCACCACCATAATGAAGAAAACAACTAGATTGGAGACAGTCCAGAATATCAGATAACTTCTGCTATAAATAGGAGCCAGGGAAGAACAGGTTGAGATATTGCAAAGGCAGTTCCAACCCAAAGTAGGCACAGCCCCCATAAAAATAGCAATGGCCCAGATCAATAAAATTAAAAAAGTGACTCTTTTCTTTGTGAGGTTACTGTGAACCCTCATCCGCACTACTGACATGTGTCGCTCAACAGCTATCACAAATAAATTAGCCAGAGAAGCTGTCAGGCTGGTGTCCAGAAGCCCCTGACGCAAAAACCATCGGTTAACAGTTAGCGTTTTGGACACAGGGCCAGTGTTGAACATCAAGTATACATAGGCAATGCCAGCAAAAAAGTCTGCAGCAGCTAGATTGGCTAGCAGATAGTAGAAGGGGAAATGAAATCTTTTGTTTTTGACCACAGCTGCTATGACCAGTGAATTTGAAATAAAAATAAACAGGCAGAAGAAGGTCCCAAAACATAAAACAATAACAAGGTTTGTCCCTGACCACTCATCTACTGTGTCAGTGTTGCTCATGTTATAAAAAAAGTCCATACGTTTATCATAGTGGCATTCGTTCATCCTGGATCAGGGCCTTACATCCTAGGGGGGGAAAAAAAACATGAATTAGATTTCATACCTTGTCTTTGCTTGAAGCACTGTGCTGCAAATACTTTGAGTGTAAATGTTCCCAGAGAATAATTTTCACATCAGGTAGAACTAGTGCAAAAAGAAATGCTGCCTGAAGGAAAAACTGCTCTAATATAGTCTCTCTGATTAGGCCCCAATTAAAAAAAATTAATCATATGCTTAACTTGAGCTTGATGTCAAATGGGACTTGAGCAGAAGCTTAAAGTTAAGCAAGTGCTAAAGTGCTTTGCTGAATCAGGGACTTAAACATTAACTAGTTAACGCTTTTGCAGATGATGAAGCTGAAGCTCAGAGTTTTAGTGATTTGCTTGAAAATATGTGGAGAGCCAAAAACAGAACCCTGATCATCTTACTCCCAGTCCTATGTTTGAACCACAAGCCCATCATTTCTCCCAATACCCAGCTAAAACAGCAAAACACAGAAATCCCACATCTTTTCCAGTTTACTAACCTAGCAACATAAAACTTTTATTTGTGAAGTATTTTCCTGTTTCTGAAGCATGTTAATAGATATAATATGTAAATATACACTATTTAAGGCATATATTCTCAATGCATGCACATAACTCCTATCAGGAGTAAATTAGTTTAAATGAATGGATTTAAAAGTGAAAATATATTATATTACATTTTAGAATAACTAGGTCCAAAGGGTGCAGAGGATAGAAAACTGGTGGGGGAGTTTGTGAAAATAGAAGTGAAGTGTTGGCCATGGATTCTGGATTGATAGCCCTGTAGAATAAAGTCTCCTATTCATCCACAAGGAAGGTGAAGCATAGGTAGCAGCAGTGGCATGAGCTTTCATACACTGTGTCAACACTGTTTTGGTTAAACTCCATGGAACGTCTGTGCTCGGAACCTGTAAGGGTGGTCCTACTTTGCAGGAGGAAACCATCCACCAGGGCCACTTATCTAACTAAGTGGAAGAGGTTCACTTGCTGGTGTGCCCAGGATCACACACCTCCAATCCAGGTGCCTATACCATTCATCCTAGACTACCTTCTGCACCTGAAACAGCAAGGCCTGGGAATGTCATCCATCAAGGCACACCTCACTGCTATCTCAGCCTTCCACCCAGGAGTATTTGCCAACCCCATGGTGGGACATTTTTTTCAAGGGCCTGGAACGCCTCCATCCCCAGATTAGACAGCCAGACCCTGCGTGGAACCTTAACGTGGTCGTTTCCAAACTAATGGGTCCCCCGTTTGAACTGCTAGTTACTTGCTCCCTCCTCTATCTATCATACAAGGTAGCTTTTCTGGTCGCCGTGATCTCAACATGCAGGGTGTCTGAGTTGAAGGCCCTCACCTCTCACTCACCTTACACAGTCTTCCACAAGAATAAGGTGCAACTTAGGCCTCATCCAGCCTTTCTTCCTAAGGTCGTGTCACATTTTCACACGAGTCAAGGCATATACCTGCCCGTTTTCTTCCCCGATTGTGTTGCCACTGCACCCCGACCTGCTCACTCAGAACCACGGTCGCCTGCTCCACCCAGACCTCAAGTCTCTCCATCTCACGGCTTGGAAGCTTCATGCCAGTAACTGCGAGCAGAGGCTGCACTCTCTGGATGTTAGGCAGGCACTAGCCTTCTACATCAAATGCACTAAGCCATTCAGAAAGTCGAACCAGCTATTCATAGCGGTGGCAGACCGGATGAGAGGGCTCCTGGTATCATCACAAAGAATATCTTCCTGGATCACGTCCTTCATCTGCACATGCTATGAGTTAGCCAAAATCCCAGCATCAGCTCTTATGGCACACTCCACACAGGCACAAGCCTTATCGGAGGCATTCCTGGCCCAAGTACCAATCCAAGAAATCTGCAGGGCAACAACTTGGTCCTCGGTGCATACGTTCACCTCTCATTACACCATTGTCCAGCATGCCAGAGATGATGCAACTTTCGGCAGAGCAGTGCTCCAATCAGCGATTCCATAATTCTGACCCCACCACCTAGGGTAAGGCTTGGGAGTCACCTAACTGGAATCAATATGAGCAATCTCTTGAAGAAGAGAGAACAGTTGCTCACCTTCTCGTAACTGTTGTTCTTGGAGATGTTGTTCGCAAGAGATAGGGATATCCCTATCTCGATGACTGGCTGCTCAGGGGGCGCACCAGGGAGCAGGTGGAATCTCCGGTCCGGTTCGTCAGATCTACTTTTGAGAGACTGGGCCTCCTCCTCAACGTGAACAAGTCAACCTTGTCTCCGACCCAGAGAACAGAGTTCATCGGAGCAGTGCTGGACTCTGTGCAGGCACAAGCATTTCTGCCGGAGACACGATTCCAAGTCATGTCAAACATCATTCATGGCCTCAGGCGATTCCTGATCACTACTGCAAGGGGTTGCCTACATCTCCTCGGCCACGTGGCAGCCTGCACTGGTCTGGCATGCCCGGCTGAGGCTCAGACCTCTGCAAGCGTGGCTTGCGTCGGCCTATCGCCCGGGACACGACAACCTGGACTTAGTAGTGACGGTACCAGAGCACATACTCGAGTCCCTCCAATGGTGGCTCGACCCTCAGATAGTGTGTGAAGGAGTCCCCTTCAATAGCCCCCAGCCCTTCTTGTCCCTGGTAATAGATGCATCAGCTCTGGATTGGGATGCGCATTTGGGACATCTACAAATGCAGGACCTATGATCTTGGGACGAGCTCTGCCTTCCTATCAACATCAAGTTGCTCAGGGCGGTACATCTAGCATGCCAAGATTTTTGGGCCCGGCTGCAAGGCCAGTGTGTGGTAGTGAGGACAGACAACACCACTGCCATGTTTTACATCAACAAGCAGGGTGGAGCCCGTTCCTCCCCCTGTGTCGAGAAGCCCTCAGGCTCTGTGAGTTCTGCATAGCCCACTCCATTCCAGTCTCTCAAAAGTAGATCTGACGAACCGGACCGGAGATTCCACCTGCTCCCTGGTGCGCCCCCTGAGCAGCCAGTCATCGAGATAGGGATATCCCTATCTCTTGCGAAGGAAGGCTACTACGACTGACATCCCCTTAGTGAAAAACTCAGGGGGCTGTCGTCAAACCGAGTGGGAGGACTGTGAACTGATAGTGTTTGACCATGATCCTTCGAAATTGCCTGTGCGCGGGGCGAATGGCTATGTGAAAGTACGTGTCTTTCATGTCGAGGGTGGCGTACCAGTCTCCCAGATCCAGGGAAGGGATAATCATGCTCAGGGAGGCTATATGGAATTTCAACTTCACCAGGAATTCGTTGAGTCCTCGCAAGTCTAGAATGGGTTGGAGACCCCCCTTTGCCTTGGGGATTAGGAAATAGCGGGAGTAGAATCCCTTTCCCCTTAGCTCCTGAGGAACCTCATCTGCTGCCCCTGTGGCGAGGAGCAATTGCACCCCCGGATAAGGAGTTGCTTGTGAGAGGGGTCCCTGAAGAGGGACAGGGAAGGGGGGTAGGAGGGAGGGGAGGAGCAAATTTGGAGAGAATATCCCATTTCTACCATGCGAAGGACCCAGCGGTCCGATGTTATTTGGGACCAAGCACGGTAGAAGAGGGATAGATTATTCAGAAAACACAGGGAAGGATCCGGTATGGAGACTGGTGCTCCGTCCTCGGGTGTACCTTGAAAATGACTGCTTTGAGCCCGATGAAAGTAAAGTCAGGGCCTGGTGCCCAGACTGAGGGTGGGAGGGCTTGCACCTGCCATTCCTGCTCCTGCGTCTGTAGGGACCCTGCCATGGCCGAGGAGGATATGACCGCTGTTGCTGTTGGGGCTTAAAGGGCTTTCTTTGGGTTGCCGGGGGGTGCATATCCAAGGATTTAATTGTAGCCCTGGAATCCTTTAGGCCAGGGGTAGGTAACCTGCGGCACACGCAAGCTGATTTTCTGTGGCACTCACGCTGCCCGGGTCTTGGCCACCGGTCCGGGGGGCTCTGCATTTTAATTTAATTTTAAATGATGCTTCTTAAAACATTTTAAAAACCTTATTTACTTTACATACAATAGTTTAGTTATATATTATAGACTTATAGAAAGGGACCTTCTGAAAACGTTAAAATGTATTACTGGCACACGAAACCTTAAATTAGAGTGATTAAATGAAGACTCGGCAAACCACTTCTGAAAGGCTGCCGACCCCTGCTTTAGGCTATGCAGCCTGGAGTCAGTCTGTTCAACAAACAGACCCACCCCATCGAAAGGCAGGTCCTGCATAGTTTGTTGAACCTTGGGCAGAAGCCCTGAGGCCTGTAGCCATGAGCTACGCCTCATGGCAATTCCTGAGGACAAGATGCATGCCGCCAAGTCTGCAGCATCCCGTGAGGCCTGTAAAGAGGTCCATGTCACTGCCTTGCCCTCCTCGACAATAGCCCCAAACTCCTCTTTGGACTCTAATGGTATGAATTTATTAAACTTCAGCATAGAGTTCCAGGAGTTGAAGTTGTATCTACTCAAGATTGCCTGCTGACTGGCAATCCTGAGTTGCAAGCCCCCTGTGGAGTATACTTTGCGTCCAAATAAATCCAGGCGCTTGGCATCCTTGGACTCAAGTGCTGCGGCTTGCTGCCCCTGCCTCTCCTCCTCATTCACTGCAGCCACCACCAGGGAACAGGGCTGTGGATGTGTGAATAGGTATTCGTACCCTTTAGAGGGGACGAAATATTTCCTCTCCACCCCCTTGGCAGAGGGAGGGATGGAGGCCGGAGTCTGATAAATGGTCTTTGCATTTGCCTGGATAGTTTTGATGAGTGGTAAAGCGATCCTAGATGGTCCCTCTGGTGCCAGGATATCCACCATAGGATCCTCAGACTCTACCACCTCCTCGCCTGCAGGTTCATAGTCCGTGCCACCCTCCATAGGAGCTCCTGGTAGCACAGCTATCTATAGGGGGAGGCGTGGAGGTGCCCGCCACAGCCTCATCTAGGGAGGAAGACGAGGAGGCCAGAGGGGGAACCTTCCTGACCTTCCTGGTCCTCCGGTACCTCCTGTCCTGCCTC